AGGTTGTGAACTTATCGCAGACGGAAAGCGACCTGTGTTGGGGTTAAACAAGGGGGTTGCAGAGCGGCTTTGCGCGCAAAAATGCCCCCCAATGTCGTGTCTTACACTTCTCTTTGAGGTCTGATTCTAGCAGCTCTTCAGTTGCAAGTGCCTGTTGCAGATGACGCTAGGGATGCAGGTATTGCTGCAGATGCTGCAGGGCAATGCTGGTAATGCTGGAGATGCTGGCTGGTGATGCCCGGGATTCGTGTTCTTTTTTGCAAATGAGAGGACGCTGGCTCGGGGTGCTGCCGCGCTGTAGCAATGCACCAGTTGCCATCGCTGCTCGTCAAGCCTCTGAAATATAGGGGTCTCCTCAAATGGCTTGAATGGTTTTCGATTTCCCAGGGTTCGCCTTTGCCCACATTACTGCGCCAGGAACTCGGAGCTCAAACGGAAAACTGGAATGCTCGATGGTTTCAAACCATGAACAATGTCACACGTGAGACAAGCCCGTGTTCAGCTCCATGTGGCTTAGGCACCAAACCCCGCTCCTCCCACCCCCAGCATTGGTCCGGGCCCCGGGCCGTGCTCTTTCGCAAGTGTTGAAGGCACGCCGCCGCCTTGGTGTCGCCTGACCCGCATGCCGCACACGGTACAGGGCCATCAGCTAAACCCCTCTCATCCAGCCTTTGAAGCTGTGCCGAGCTTTTGCATCGCGAATCTACATGGGCGTGCCTGTTTCTAAAACGGCTTCTTGGGCGGCCTTTAAAAGGGAAGCCAAAGGGAAACCGCTTTGTTCCCCGGCTGATTGACTTGGCCCGCGTTTTGACATGTACGGCATGGTCCGCGGGAATCCGCTTGGCTCGCCTGCGCCAAGGCGCTTTGCGTTGATGGCCAGTCCTTTAATCTCTGGGCGAGAAAGCGGAAGTTTTGTGGATGGACAAAAAACATGTTGCCCAAGTTGGTCGGTTCATCCTAGTTTTGCAGGGTTTCATCCATCCGAACTGGTGCGGTTTGTGGATATTGTCCATCCACAGACTTCTGGCCATCAGTCAGGTTTGCGCACTCAATCCTTTAGCACCCTTGGCCAGCAATTAGGCTCATACTTGGGCCAGAAAAGAAAACAAAACAAAAAACATGGCAAACCTAATTCTTCGTCAGCAAAGGTGTGGGGCGTGATGTGGGATACACACATACAAAATAATTTCATGAAACCGAAACGATTCACCAAGCATTCGGGGCAACTCCCAGCCAGTTGTCACGTACCCATTAGTCGCCAGGGTCGCCCACACTCAAAAGCTTCCCGCGGAAAAAACAAGCCCACATAAACCTTGGGCCAACCCCTTGCTGACACATGTCAAACCACATATGTTTAAACAACCTACCTACAGATTTCCTTGCAAGGGAACCAGGGTTGGTGCTTAAACAAGTCTTCCCAACCCTGAGAAACATATTTATTTATATATATATATATATCTCTTCTCCGCAACCTACTTGTGTTGTGGCGGCCATCCTTGAGGGCCAACCCGTGCTGTTCCAGAAGCGCCGCCCCCGAGCCGGAAAAAGCCGAGGCCTAGCTTCAGACAGACGAAGATGGCGTCGAAGTCATCGGACTTCAAGTCGCCCTAAACCATCGCGCAGTTTGCGAGCGCTGTGATGAGGAGGTGACGTGGGAAGGAAATCCCACACTGAAGCCATATGGCTGTGTCCCAAACGGGAGAATCCAAAGATGGCTGGTTCCTTTTGTTTTCCCCTTTGAAACCACCCAAAAAAAAGTCCACCATTTTGAGAAACATCCTTTGGGAACATGTCAACACGAGGGGGGAGAGCTGCAGGGTGCTTTTCAGCCGCCAGTATCGGGGACGAAGCCTTCCCGCACATGAAACACGCAAGTCGAGGGGGGCGTTTCAGGTCGAAAGACCTACATCCCAAAGAAGCTTGGAGCCGGCGCGGTCGGCTCTGAGGTCGCATGTGATCCAAGCCGGAAGTCGGGAGGCGCCTGGTCAAAGCTCACCTTCAGCTTGGGCGACGGTAGGGCCAGCGACAGCTCGAAGCCTGCGCAGTCGAAGCGCCGACTTTAGCGCAGGCGCTAAATGGGTCGGCTTCAAGGCCTTGCGGCTTGCAGCTGGAACATCCAAGTGGACCTGCTGACTCAGGGGGGTCAACAATAAGCCACCTGCTCCGGGTGAGCTGTGCACTTCTCAGCCTGAAAAAGAGCGTTGGGCGCCGAGTTGCCACCATGGTCGCAACCCGTCACGTGCATCGCTGCCATCCAACTGGTTGCGCTTTATAACCGCTGGTGAGAACTCGCCCCCTTCTCTTCAGCTGTGATGGCAAAGTAGGGCTACTTCAAATCAGCCTGCGGCTAATGATTCACCTGCAACTTGGAGTCGAGTAGGTTCACACTCAGACATTTAAACAAAGTTGATCCTGCTAGAGGGTGCTCCCAGAAGTTCGTTTGGAACAACATTCAAGCAGGATGCAAATCACCTGTCCAGCCAACACTCCGTCCATGTTCCTATTAACAAGCATGATCCTCAACACGAAGAAAAAGTGACCATGATGACGATGACGCACAACAAGGATAACAGCCCTCCTGTGTGGGTGTGTGTGTGGGCAAAAACTCAGGACTCCTGTTCTGTACCCAAAACTCAAAGTAACCATAAACAAGGTTTGATGTTTGACCAAGAACCGGCAGCAAAAAGCTAGAGCACATTGTCTGTTGGTTTCATGATTGTCTTGAAAAGGGTGGGACTTTCTCAAGGGGATGCTTTGTATGTGTCGCTGATTCATGCCTACCGTCAACCAGGAGGCGTCCACACAGCTTGACCGACTTGTGACAAGGGCCAAAAAAGGCGAGAAAGAGAGAAAGAGAGAAAGAAATGATAAAGAAGGAAAGAAACAAACAAACAAACAAGCAAGCAAGCAAGCAAGCAAAGAAAGAAAGAAAGAAAGAAAAAAAGAAAGCCCTCTTTTCTCTTTCTCTTTCTCTTTCTCTTTTCCTCTCTTTTTTCCCCAACAGCTGAAAGCTTTGGTGTCTCAGCCCAGATAGGCTCCGGGGTGGTCCGGGGCGACCCTGCGGTAAGGTTCCACGAGGGTTCCACCTGGGTTCCACGAAGTTCTGCGAGGTCTGCGGGGTGGTGCGAGCACTAAAAAGAGCACCGCATGCTGCTGGGGATATCACCTGAACTTCTTTTTTCTTCTCTCTCTCTCTCTCTCTCTGTCTATGTCTCTTTCTCTTTTTCTTTCACTTTCTGTTTCTTGTTCTCCTTCTCTCTGTCTCTTTCTCTTTCTTTGCCTCTTTCTCTTTCTCTCTTTCTCTCTTTCTCTCTTTCCTTCTTTCTTTATAGTGAGAGATCCGCGGTCCTCTGTTACCCAAAGTGTGTACTGCCTGGTCAGTGTTTGCTCGCCTGTCACGCGTCCGACTGCGCGCGGCCCTGCAGAGTTCGGAGGTCAAGGGAGACCGGCATCGATAACCCGCTGGTTTCGGAGTCCAAATTTCAGCGGCGATCCTTTTCTTTTCTGGGAACCCACCCATCAAAATGCCAGGCTCATTTTCATCCGCGGAGCTAGCTTTGTCATCGAGCGTGCTCCCACCAGCGAATCTCTCCCACAAGCCTATCCAATTTCCACACCCTTTCTCCACCCGCCACGCAAACCCACACTGCCAGACAGCCACGCTGGGTTTTTGCCTATGACCCTCTTGACCTCACTTCCAATCCCAGGTTGGCCCGGCGCAGCGCCCATGTCAAGCAAAGGAGGCCTCAACGGTGTTTTGACAGGCTGGCCTGGCAGCATCAGACTACCCTGGTCTGGCTTTGTGCATGCACATTTTAAGCTTGTCCATCTCATGTTACCCAAACACTTCACGGTCAAGTGGTGGCTACCAAGCATCCTCAGCAGTAACCAACCAAAAAACCAGCCCCCCGACCAACCCACCAGGCAACAAACAAGCAAGCAAGCAAACAGCCCAAACAAACAAGTAAGCAAGCAAGCAAGCAAACAGCCCAAACAAACAAACAAACAAACAAACAAACAAGCAAGCAAGCAAACAAACAAACAAGCAAGCAAGCAAACGGCCCAAACAAACAAACAAACAAACAAACAAACAAGCAAGCAAACAGCCCAAACAAACAAACAAACAAACAAACAAACAAACAAACAAACAAACAAGCAAGCAAGCAAGCAAACAGCCCAAACAAACAAACAAACAAACAAAAAAACAAACAAACAAACAAAGAACAAACAAACAAGCAAGCAAGCAAGCAAACAGCCCAAACAAAAGAACACCAAAAAAAAACAGAAACAATGGCGGCAGAAGCAGCCACTGTAGCCAACCACAAGCGACCAAATGGCGACGGTAGAGGCCTCGCCTTGGGCGTCCCGCTCCAGATCTGTAATCTGCAGCTTGCCCGCTTTCACGGAGCGCTCCTCGACTTGCCCATTCTTGACCCCCTGATCAACCTAGCTATAAGCGCCCAAAAATAAATATGCTCGGGTGATATTCCCAACAACATTCGGTGCTCTTTTTAGTGCTGGAACCACCCCGCAGCCCTCGCAGAACCTCGTGGAACCCTGGTGGAACCCTGGTGGAACCCTGGTGGAACCCTGGTGGAACCCTGGTGGAACCCTGGCGGAACCCTGGTGGAACCCTGGTGGAACCCTCGTGGAACCTTACCGCAGGGCCCGGACCACCCCGGAGCCTATCTGGGCTGAGACCCCAAAGCTTTCAGCTGTTAGGGGAAGAAAACTCATGCTCACGAGGACAAACTGTGCAGCGCTAGATTGGCACTGTGTCTTTTACAGGAGACTTAGAGCCCTGGGCTTATGTTGGGCTTGCCAAGGATAATGAACAGTTTTAAGGCAACTTGTTCACTCGCAACCTCAATCCGAGCGGACACGGGCTTGTCTTCTTTCGATAAAACAAAACAAGGCCTGCGCAGCAATAACATTGCAGTCGGAGACATCAGCAGCTGGGTGTAGGCATCCGACTGCATTAGCAGATCTGTTACAACAGCTATTCGCCTACAAGCACGCTCGCGCACACACTCGCGCACACGCGCACACACACACACACACCATCTCACTGGCTTTCGCTTGGCTCAAGGGCGACTCGCAAAGAGGGAGCTCTGTTGAGCGAGAATATCAGCTTCGATGGGGCGTGATGGGTGCCTTATTTGTTCTCTACTCGCGACCCCGGTTCATGAAACATTCGCCCGAACACTGGAAACAACTGCCACCTTGGGGAACTTTGACCTAACAGTGCTAAAATGGCGAACCAGAAGGTTGAGTTTATAGAAACTAGCTGATTCAGCGGGCTGACTGCCTTTGGGAACCCTTTGCAATTCTGTTGAAACACGAGAAGCTTCTGATTCAGCCCGGAAATTGCAATTAGGTATCTGTACATCTACCCCGATCTTCTGGGACTTTGCTTGAGCTCAAAAAAGCTCTAGAGTAGATCATGCAGCCAGTGTATTGGACTGAGAGAGAGAGAGAGAGGGAGAGGGAGAGGGAGAGGGAGAGGGAGAGGGAGAGGGAGAGGGAGAGGGAGAGGGAGAGGGAGAGGGAGAGGGAGAGGGAGAGGGAGAGGGAGAGGGAGAGAATGGAATTCCTGCAGGTTCACAAGCCGAAAGAAACAAGAGGCACCTCGAAAGAATTATCACACCTTGAAGGGTATCCCCTCTTACGAAGGTGTCACTTGCAGTGTTGACCTCCAGACTTATCAAGCGTGGCTCCTTTTCAGTGGGAGATTGGTTCATTTCGGGGGAAACTTGGATAACATGACAAAGTTGAAGGTTGATCTGCTTGTCCCGTGAGCCGCTCGAACCCCGTCCAGCGCTTGTCGGCCCAGCAGCAGCACCTCCACACCCTCGGAGGCCAAGTGCGCTCCGAGGAACCTGGCCCGCTTTTGAAACACGGGCAAAAGAAATGCCTCGTCCCTGGTAACACAAGCTGACTCCACGTCTTCGATTTCCTCAATGCTGTTTTGGAGGGGGCTCCTGACTGACGAGTGTACAGGGCAGGGGGCTATGCCTTTTCAAGCCTTCGATCCACCGCGAACGATAGTTCACACATCTGGAATAAGAGAGTCTACTAATAAGCTCAGGTGAAATCCCCAACAGCAAGCGGTGCTCTTTTTTGTGCTCGCACCACCCACGCAGGCCTCGTAGAACCTCGTGGAACCCTCGTGGAACCCTGGTGGAACCCTCGTGCAGGGCCGCCCCGGACCACCCCGGAGCCTATCTGGGCTGAGACCTCAAAGCATTCAGCTGTTGGGGAAAAATGTCTTCATCACAGTTCACGACGTCTACCTCAGTTCATGATTATTCAGTCTGGCTTGCACAACCCGTGGCTGCGAAACAAAGACTTCCGGCTGCGCCGCAAGTGCGGCGTCCAGCCCCGAGCCCGAGCCCGAAGCGTGCCGGACGCCGCTGGCCCACGCAGCCAGCGCCCAGCACGGCCACACGCATAGCGGAAGTCGCAAGGGATGTATGCCACGAGGCTCACGTGTAACTCCCAAGACGGGACCCTGTGGGAGTTCAAAAAACGCGGCCCTGTGCACAAGTTTGGGACCCAAAGTGATCCAAAAGTTGGGGACCCGCAGAAAGGTCTCAGTCGCAAGCAGCTGGACCCCTCCGGAACTTTTGACACGTATCCACTTCGAGCGGCGAGGCCCTCAGCTTGAGCCAAGCCGTGAGCCGTGGAAATGATACGGATTGGCGGGTCAAGCCAGTGGAATCTCAGGTCGATTTGCCGTTTTCTTGGGTTCCACATTTGGAAAACAAATAACCCAACGGCGAGAACGAGAACTTCCCGGTTCCCATCATCATGGGGAACCGGAAAGCACGGATGTGCACGGTTTCGTGGGGAAACTGAGGGCACCGGCACAATGTCACAGGCTCGAGCTGACACTCTGTCTCAGAAAGCAGTCAACGACAGAAGGACTGTATTGAAAAGCAAGTTGCATCCCCACAGCTTGGATGGGGGAATGGGGGAGATGCTGGAGAGTCTTTTCAAAAAAAGCGCTAACTAAGTATGGTTTCTACTAGCGATCACCACGGGGATCAGAGAAATGGGAAATTACGATGCTAACAGGAGTTACCAAGGTCTTGCAACTTACAACTACCATCGTTGTGATTGTTTGAAGAGTTCAAAAGAGCTCGATGGGAATGGAGTGTGAACCAAGCCCAAACATACACGGCACTCCGCTGCTTTTTGCGTCCAAGCGCCGCAAAAGACCTCCACGTGGAAAATGTGCTCTCAACAAATAAATAATCCAACCGGGCAACTAAGGAACCAAGATACTCAAAAAGAGTAAAGCCACAAGTGCAATCCTTTTGAAACAACTGACCACACACATCCCACGCCGGCGCCGGCGACCCAACGACTCTTTGGGGCAGCCAGGCTGCCTCTCGGTAATTTTTGGCATCTGTAGGCACTCTTGCAGCTTCGATGCGCCAGCCCAAACCACGCGACCAGGCACTCTTTGGGGCAAATGGCCAACATCTCCACATTCTAAGTCCACAAGACATTGCGCGGCTCGCCCGGAACCATCGACAGCCCTTCCACCCCGGAAGGAACACGCGGAACGCGCCCGGTGCAAGAGAAAGTCTGGGAGGCGCTCCCCCAATTTTGGCACTGCCCAAGGCAGAGGGTGGTTTTGACACGCATGGGGTGGAAGGCCCAAGAAAACCCACAGGAACGCAACCCCGGATCGGACCCTCAAACCTGAGCCACGCCGAAATCTCAACTTAAAATGCTGACGGCGTTTGCGAATTGGCAACTGAGGAACCTGTGAATGACAGAGGAGTGAATGACAGGTGTCTTTAATATTCAAGGCTCCTTCTGACATGTCTCCACAAAAACAACACGTCTCAGTTCAATGGGAACCTAGGATGAATCAACCCCTGGTTAATTAGGCCGTCCCGGTTTGGGAGCTCTTTACTTGCAACACCCGAATCCACCAGGTTGACTAATCTGGGGTCGGAATCGATACATTGTAGCTTGAAACTGTGCCAATTGGATTGAGCATTGAAAGAGAGGTCCTTCCTCTGCACGAAGACTGCCAAATGGGAATTATCAGAACAATGATACGTCAAACAATAGCAACACATGGCCCAGAGCCAAAACAAAATGTACAAAATGGTTTGAGGATAATATGGCACTTTGCACAAAAAAATGAAGCTCCAAACTACCGGATCGGCAGGCCCTAAATTTCAAATGTGGAACGAGGGTGAAACACGTGTTCTGATAAATACCAGATTTTGGCCGAAACAAAGTATGGTTGAAATTCAAAGGGTTTCATGTTGCTGAAATATCAGCTCAAAACCGGGCAAACTCCCAGGTCACGCTTCATGTTTGACTCTTTGACGTCTTACAGACATTCTTTCAGCTGCACCGGGGTTTGAGCGTCTAGAGCCGAGCGCCTCTTCTGGGGAAGCGGACGGGTGGCATCAGCTGTTTTGTAAGAGCATTTGGTTAACAGAACCTTCGCCTTTCCAAGGGAGATGTCTTCATCAAAATGGTAAAGATGTGAGAATCTAGCATCTAATGCATTACGCTTTCTTCAAGGGAGCTTATCTATCATAGCTTCTGGCCAATCACCAAGAGTGCCACTGCCTCTGGTGCACTGCAGACAAGGCTGTTTGGTCATGTTGACACCAACCACTGTGTGATTTGTGCTTGTCGAGTCCTTCAAACTAAGGTGGCCAAGGCGAGCTTTGACAGTTCAGGAATATGAGAGCGAACCCATGTTCAGCATAAGTCGACGGGCGCTTAAAGTCGCTTGTGCCAATGTGACAACCCCCCCCCCTTCCCGCGGGCACGGCCGGCTCTGGACGTCATTGGTCAGGTGCAGATACATGGCCGCCAGTTGGTGGTGGCTCCGCTTCCACTTAGTTTTCCCAAATCTCACAAGAAATGGCCAGTCGCCAAACCTGAGACAGGCACTTCCATTAGCTCCACCAAAGCCACCAAGAGCAGTGTGAAAAAAGTAAACTCGCCGACTCGCCGACTTGCAAAGCGGCCGCCAAACCGCCGGGACTGTCCCGTCAAATGGCCAGCTCAGTGCTGTCGGCATAGTCCAAACCTGGGCGGGCCAAACAAACCAAATCAATGTGCCATGGCCCACACGTTCCAGGGTCATTCCCTCGGGAATCCTTCCCGCGATGCCCAGCAAACCAAAGTAAGCAGGGGCCTGCTGTAAACCACGGGCGCTGCCGGAGTGCGCTGTGTTGTACATAATATGTCTGGAATCTGGCTACCCCTGACAAAGACTCAGAGACTCAACAGAAAAGAGTACAGGACGCTGTGAGCGTGGACTGTTGACACAATTTGAGCGGAAACTCGAGTTCAACTGTGTTGGAATAATCTGCGCTTAAATGTTGACTGATGTGTAAAGAAACTCTATTGGAAAGAAAATCCTGGGAAAATGCGAATGGAAAATAGAATCAACTCTGATCTAAACAAAAGGTCATGAACAAAACGAGATTGGATTGTGTCCTTGTGAAATTATGCTTTAACTCTCATTGAGTTGCAAAGTTCGATTGGGTTGGGAAAGAAATTATTACTAAATTCTAGATTTAAGATACAGGTCCAGTAAGATTCTGAACAGGTATGTCCTTTTTGAGTCCCATTTAAATGTCAATCAAAATGTAGAGGTTTGAGTATGTTGCTTTCGGTGTTTCCTGACCATAATAATACTTGTTGGGACCTCTGAGTTCTTGCCGTATGAATTCTACTTGATTATCAAAGTCTACTCAATGTCTAAGTGAAATCGATAATTGTGAATCAAAGACTCCAGTCATAATAATGTCTGCTTTGAACTAAAATTTACATACTGGCTAGTCCGATTCAAATTAAATGTTGAATAGAATATCCTGTCCAATCGAATCGTCTTTAAAAATCAATACACATTTAAACACCATTTATTCAACAATGGTAGGACCTCTGAAATACTTCCTTTTGAATGCTGCTTAATATCTGCATCAAGTTCTACTTAGTGTCTAATTGATATTAAATAGAATTGAGTAAGGAAATAGTCCAATCAAAAGGAACCATCTCTAGCTTACAGTACTAGTGCTTGGATGGGAACTACACAAGTGCACTTGAACACAGAAGCTCTTGTAAAGAAGATAATGAATCCCAAAAAAAGCACGCAAAATGTTTAACAAAAGAAGAAGAAAAAAAGTTTAAGAAAGAAAAATAAACATAAACATGTCAGCTGTCCTGACTTGGACGCATAGTCTTGTCTTTGTTCTTCTTTTGCGTGTTGTTGTTCTTTGTTTGTTGGTTTTGTCGAGTTTGTTTGCATTGCTTGAGAAAAGTACGAAAGCCCTCAAGAAAACAAAAAAGAAACACAAAAAACAATTTGACGTCGGAAACAAAATGAAGAAAAAAAGAGTTCCCGTAAAGGCGACGTCACCAAAAAACGACTATGTCAGCTGTCCTGACTTGGGGGCATAGTCTTGTTTTTAGGTATCTTTGTTTGTTATGCAACAAAGTGCATTCCCAGGGCGTCCTGTTTTGTACAAAACCGAGTCGCCGCATCAACGGAAAAAGCCAAACGCTCGGCGCTTGCCTGGTTGAAGCCGCTTTGTAGGCTTCGATGTTGGAAAAGGGACTGTCGTTGATTTCGATGCTATGGTTGCAACTCAAAACCCTGGTACTGACTATCCGTCTCAACACTGAATCTGACTTGAGAGCTGGTGGACAAGCGCACCAAGCAACGAGACGCGCAAGATGGCACCAAAACGAGGAAAGCACACCTCATGACTGAGGCGCTTGAGCCAGCCCTTCAAAAGCCAGAGTGCGGAAAGAGTTCAGTGCAACGATACGAAGGAGGCAAAGGGGGAGGGAGCTGAGCTTAGAATACTGCGCGAGCAGAATGCAGAATGAGCGGAGAAGAGCAAAGCGAGCAAAAATGCCAATGGCGGCAGGCAAAGAGTCCATGCCATGTCCGTTGATCGAATCTCAATGGCGAGAAGCTCGAGCCAAGCCAAAGCTTAAAGAGCTCCAAGACTGGCCCCATTCTTTACATCAAGTAGCCCCCTAAGGGTAGCTTAAAAACAGGAAACACCCCCCATTTTCTAACTTCTTCAATTCACAGAAACAGTCAAATCAAGAAACCCAGCAATAAAGCGAAACGAAAAATAATATATATATATATATATATATATAAACGCACCTCCAGTCTAAACCCAAAGTGGTGTCTAAAAAGCCGGCAAAGGGAAAGCAACGTTCCACCCGGTGCCTCCGCTCCATGGGCCCGGGCCGATCTTAATCTCCTCCTGTAGGATGGCCTTGGCTTCCTTGAGGCGCTCCTGGCCGGCTGGGGTTCCCACATGTCAAAACCGTCAAGCGGGATCCCATTTTTTGGGGGATTGGTGAATTCACCGCCCATTTTAGGCTTCCTGCTTTAGTGGTTGGATTGGGATGTTCACTGGGGGTACGATTTGGATTTTGACCCATGGCCACATGTCTCCATTGAAAGAAAGAGACACTTGTCAGTTTTTCCTTGGACAGCCGATGAATAGATCCCCTTGGCTTTGATTTGGTGTCAAATTCATGGAGATCCAGATCACTGACTGATCCGTGGTAAGCACGAGGCATCGAAGTGAGGTCACTAGATAGAGGCAAAAAGATCAGTTCCTATTGCCCAGAAACCTCGGGAGGTCCGATTTTTCGAGATCGGGCAGCTTTAGTATCCCTTCATTGGGCTCGCTGACTCGCCCCGTGGGGTTTAGGGTTTCCGGTGTTGGGTTTACGAGTCCCACTTAATTGGGAGGTGCTTGCATGGGACAGCTGGTGTAAATCCAACCTGCACGGGTCTGTTGATCATGGGCCCCTGCCTGCAAAGAACTTACATGTCTACAACTTGTTGCCCCAGCAGAGTCTGAAAACACATCTCGCACAATCTGGTCTAACTGGCAACACCTTGCAAACACAGGTAACTTGGCCAGCCCTGATATTTGGGTGTTCGTTCGATCCTAGCTTTGCCACATTGCCATGTCACAAACGACAATCGCAGTGGAGAAGGATACGCAAGTCGTGCTAAAGCAGTAGATGGAGTGAAAGGGCACAAAGGCAAATATGATCAAAAGTCGACTTTGCAGTACCCATCCAAGAAATCGTAAACTCCAGACCATCTGGCATGGCCAATCTCTTGGTCACAGGGAAACCGCTCGTTTAACTGGACCACTGTCTTCCGAAACACGTCTTCGGCCCCGTCGGAGCCCACCAGGATCTCTTTCACCGGCCGACGGTCACCAATTCGTGTCCGAAATTCGGCTGCAGTTCCCCACGTGTCCAGTTCTCGAAAGTCACCCCGTTTCGAAGGGATTTCGAAGGGAACGCCCAGCCGACTTTGAGGAGCCAAAAGCAAAAAGTGATCTTTAGTGCAAAAGCGGTCAGCAACGCGCAACGTGCGCACAAAAGTTGCTCGGCCTTCTCATAGGCATCCAACCCTGGCAGGCGGTGGACCTCAGCGCCCCAGAGCTATGGACTTTTGGGCTCCGACATGGCGAAGCATGGGGGCTTTCCCATAAACCCCCATTCAGCCAGTAGAATCACTTGCGTAGATTGTTAATAGAAAGGTTGGGACCTGCCAAATTGGTTGTCCTACATAACAAGTGTCTACTCTTCTATGCTCGGCGTTTGACCGCCCTACACAAGTTTTTAAAGGGCAAAGGGCCACGAGTTGGACAGGGCTGAGGTGCTAAGATGAAAAGGTTGATTGCCACTGAGAAACGGTTCGCAGCCCTTCCTGGCAATGGTGCCCTCCTTTATTAACGGCTGAAAGGAGACCAAACAGAGACACATGAACAAACATTTCGCCCCGAGTTGTCAGAGCTGCCACGTGCTCAGAAAGCTAGCTACCGAAGCCACGGCCGGCAGTCACTTGCAGTGGAAACTGGACGAAGAAACAAAGCGAAGAACGGCCGTCTCCCAGGCCGTGGCCCGGGCCCGTTCTACGCCCCGGGGCCCGAAGGTCACCGGGGAGGCGAAGAAGGGCAGCTCCGTGACCTCCGACCTCGAGACGGCGCCCGTCTCAGCGCCGTGCTTTAGAGGCCCCAGCGCCGTTGACTGGCGGGAGTGAGAGCCACAGTCCAACAACACGTATCCTCTCCTTGCGAGGAAGGACGATCTACAAAAGCTATCAATGATTGCCGCTATGCTATCAGCTTCAGGCTACCATGTTAAAGGTTGGTTCAAAGGGAAGTCAAAAGGCAAGCCACTATGTTTGCCGGGGGCGTCCCTTACTTTGGCATACGCACACTCCTTTGCTAGGGCCCGCTGAGGCCCGGGCTTCACGTATGCGCACTCCTCAGGAGTGATCTCTCGGGCAAGGATGTTGCAAGGGCCCAAATTGTTGCAACGGGGTTGTGGGGTACCATCAAACCAAATTGCGCCATGATCACAGGACACTGATGTGTGATTATTCAACCCTTTGTATGCAATACCCTGCCTGGTTTAGGTCACTTCGTACACTTAGGTCTCCCTGTCGCCTTTCCTTCAACCTGAGCTCTGCCCTTCCAAGAACCGCTCTACATGTCCATCAAGATGGAAATTTCATCTAACAGTCCCATCCAAAGCGTGCAAATCAGAACCTAAAAACTGACCCGAACTCAGCGCTGCGAACTCACCCGAACTGAGCTCCCGAGCGGTGGCTCGGTTGCCCGAAAGCCCATTCAGCACAGCACTGCCCAGGAGATACCCAGCATAGCCTCAAGCGGCCAACGTAGCGTGTTGCAAGTACTGGACAAGGCAGCTCCCGATAATCGAGCACTCCCAGATCTGGCTTTCAAGAAAACGATGCTGAGTCGCCCTCGCTGTATTGTTTCGGAAGCCCCCAAACCATCACAATCTAAACCGCCAATTGAGCGGAAACAACAAGACCTGCTTCAAGAAAACACGCAAGCGCACACGCAAGCGCACACAAAGGAGACCAAGCACCTCCGCGGCTTCGCCGAGTGGCCCAAGGAGAGAGTGGCGCTGCCCTTGCCGCTCTTGGCACGGACGATCTCAGCACCTGGAAAGGGTTACTTTGCCCTGAGGCGTGCCCTTTTAGCTGTCTGTTCAAGACACCAGCAAACAGACCTGGCACTCCCCCCCAAAAAAATGACCCTCCATGTCTCGGTGTGTCTCGTCGCGGCGTTCTTTTGATTTCCCTTTAAAGCAACCCCCGTTCGAGGGTGGCGAGCCGGAAAAAAACATGAGCCACGCCCAAGCCGCGTTTCGATCTCCAGAACAAGCCGTCCGGCAAGCGCCGCTTGCTGCTTGCTTGAGCTGCCTGCATCCTGTACGCGGGCATCTAAAGATTTCCGGAGCTCCAGGGAGAGGGAGGCGCACGCCTTCTCCTGGAGTCAAGCCCAGCGAAACAAAACAAACGCCTCCCCCCAATCAACCGTTTCTGATTTGGGGAGGAGGTCACAAGTGGAAACCGGGTATAGCAGGGCCCCCCTCCCCAATTCTGTGAGGGTGGGGATTGGTCTGCCCAAAACCCATGGTAAACCATCATCATCAAAGGGCGGATATTTGCACCTATGTACGGTTGGGACTGTCCCTACCCTTCACTTACCTGGGCTATGATTGTGACTCAATTGGCGGGAGTGGTTCAAGCTCCCCCCTCTTCGCGCCGAGTGCGAACAACACAACACCCGAGGATGCCCTCCTTATGAGGCAAATACGGGACTTGGTCGTCCAACGAAAAAGAGACGCGCACTTTGGGTGACCCTCCAATGGTTTCAATCGAGGAACCCCCGTTTACAAGAGCCCGTTTATGGTGTCCGTCCAAACAGACCTATTATTGCTCGAAAAGATGCTCCATAAAAGCAGGGCCCTCCCACCCGCCCTGGGATAAGCCAAGACATTGTTCGCTTGATTTGCATGCCACGCAAATCACTCACAAGCAAAAAAACATTGTCTAAAACGACATTCGCATATTTGTGTTTCAGCCGCCTTGGGGATCCAAGCGATTCTATCAGTGTTTTCTCCCCCCGTGTATCATGTTGGGAACCTTGCATGCCTCCCCCGCCCCCCTCCCTCGGCATATCCTCACCGAATGGATCCGGAAATGTTGTGGACACGTGCCCAGTCACTGATGAAGGGTGTTCGCAAGAAAATCTCCCCGGCTAATCGAGATGAAAACACCTTTTGGGCGCATTCCACGGACCCAAGCGACATCTATGCTTAGTTTGTTTGGTAAGCGGAAAATCGATGCTTTCTTGACTAAAACACTGTGATGCGTGGGTGGGTGTCGACCACTAATGCACTGGTCATGCTGCAGGTGTCGACCACTTTAGTCAACAAAAACCGTCAAAAGTAGACCGAGCCATGCTGGCTGGAAAGGTGCAATATCGCAATTTGTTTTATAAACAACTTTGATGCCGTTGAATGACTTTCAAGTGTCGAGTTTGGAAACCGCAAAGCGTCTCTTGACAACAACAGGTGATGCTGGAGGTGCTGACCATCTTAGTCGACAAAGACCGTCATTTTCGCAATTCGTTTGGTAAAGAACTTTGATCTGTCGAATGACTTTCAAAACCAGATTGAAAACCGAAAAACCTACTTGCGTAACTAAAACCAAACATCCAACTACGCGCGATTCTGCCTGCACCTTGTCTCACGTGTGCGTACCTTGAATCATCTCAAGTGTCAAACATTTCAGTCAGCGAAAAAGCGTTTCCTTGCCTGACACTAGTCATGCTGGAGGTGTTGACCACTTTAGTCAACAAGGACTGTCAAACACGAGTCATGTCGAGCTCAAAAAGTACAATGCGCAAATCGGTTTGTGAAGAAAGTGTTCATGCCGTCTCAAGTTTGGAAACCGCGACAACTCTGTTCCTGAGACCAAAGGCCACTGGGCTGGGCTCACCCTAGTGTGTATTTGATGTATATATATGCGAGTAGCTACATATATTGACAAATTCTGTGTGTTACAAATATGTGTGCTTATCTTTGTTTTTGCTTGCGCCAGAGCGAAATGCACGTCATCGCCTCTGCACGAAGCTGGGGCATGCTCTGTTCGAGCTTGCCACTTTGCAAAGGCACGAAGGCAAGGAGAATGGACCAATGTGAAGCCGTGGCACTTCACCGCAAAACGATCCATTGAGTCATCTCAGGCATCTGTTCGATGCAAGAATATGAAAATCGGTGCTGGCCCAACCCTCTCACCATTCTCAAAGTCAGCCCTGAAGGGACAAGTTTCAGGGAAACATCCCACATGTCTGACTTTCATCACCGTGAGAAACTGTCCGAGGCATTGGACCGCAACTAGGCAACCCTTTCTGGCTGGTGTGTTTCCACTTAAAAGAAACGTCCAGACGGGTTGCCTGACGCCCGCCGAGCAAGCTGAAAACCGGGAACCCGTTTCAAGGCAACCTGCGAATATGAAGTCGCTCAAACATGGTTATAATTTACTGCACGTAGCTTTCGTGACCAACAGGAAACCTAGCGTTTTTGTGGAAACACCGATGGAATCGGAGGCCCAAGCCTTTGCGAGCACCATTCGATTGTGTTGAAATCAAAAGCTGATTGGCGACCATGCTGCGCGGCAGGCATGGCTGTGAGGGCCATACCTCAAACTTCGTTGTGCGAAGCCTCACCCTTGGGGCTGTGACTTGTGCAGAAGGTGGCACTCGATGGTTACACAGATCTCACAGTGTGACCAAGCCTAACACAAGCCACTGATGCACGTGGCTGTGTGCTTCCCACTGCAAGGCGCGCGGGCACATGCGTGTGAGTCTGGCGGCACAAGGGGCACCGAAAGGCGAGCCGAGTCCACCATTGGCGAACGCACGCAAGGTGGAAGGCGTGTCCACAGCTAAGCTGCGCGCCCGAACTCATCGGCTCCAAACAAATGGCGCAGGCCTCCCCCTCAGCTCAGCGACGCAACTCAGGGGCCTTTTGACTGAATTGACAAGTTGGGGTTGTAGGGGAATCCCTGCAAAACTCTGGGCTTGGATTTTTTGACCAAGAAGTGCTTCACCTATGGGGAGACACTATCTTTGGTGTTATCCTGCTTCTAAACCATATTTCGGTCGAACTGAAGAGCAACCAAGTTGTTTGGTGGAAGCTGGAAAGCCCTGGGCAGGTCAGGAATTAAAACAGGGGCAAGACCCTCAAACGAACCCCTGATGCAACAGCCCTGATGCAACACCCCGTAGCGGGCGCTGGCGTGAGTCTTGGGGACCCAGTTCTTCCAACGCCAAACCTACTGTTTGACCTCCATCTTGTGCATTTTGTGTGTGCTTTTTCTTTGAACCGCGCGGCCTGCTTTGCCTCCACCAAGTCCTCGTCCAGGTGCCACTTGGGGCCCAGCAAGAACCGGACAAGGAGCGTGCAGAGCAAGGAGAGGAAAGCCACCAGCGCCACGGTGCCCACCACGAGCGTGGCATCCATGGCCCTATCGAGCGCCTTTGGGGCAGGTTGGGCAGGTTGAGGATGTGGCTGTGGGCAAAAAAATATATACGTAAATGCAAACATGGACTAAAATCTGCGGTCCTCTGGTGATTTCAAATTGACCCACACCCATGTAGGGCCTCTTAGCAAAATCTGGTGGGGGAGAGCAGCTGGATATGTGCGGTAGTCCACCAACGGTTTCCTCTTGGTTTCCCTTTCAAACCACCCCTAAAAGGGCATCCTCAAAACACCGCTTCTGGACTGGAAACCCCCGTATACATCTGCGCAAATCCAATGTCAACTAGTAGCAAGGGAGTCCCCACTCAAGGATCGAAGTCTAGAGAGTCCCTTATGTGCCGCCCTCGAAAGAGGCCACGGAACAAACAAAATACACCGCCGATATAGAATCACATAGCAACTCAAATATCATCGATATTATATGTTGGAAGCTTCAATGTTGCTAGTTGGTTGCTTTCTACTGTGGCAGCTACTATCGAAAATACAGAAGGCCATATGAATAAAACAAAATAGAATGTGCCTCCATGTCTTCGTGTTGGTTCAGTTTAGTGATGAACAGCGAGGGTAAAACCATGAAAACATTCAGCATGACGTCGGAAGGTTCTCTTATACAATGTGGATATATATATATATATATATATTATTTCAAAAGAATGCAAAAAAAATGATAGAGGCATGCAGAACAACGCAACCCAACAAATATTCCAATACACACCCTAAAAGTAATCCACCAAAAACATTCCGCAACATATACATGTATATATATATATATGTATATGCCTAAAAGCACCTCAAAAGATATCCCCACAAACACAGCATTTCCATTAAATGTCCAAAAAGACACCCAAAACGAACCCTAAAGTCATCCCCAAACACATTTCTCAAGAAATCCTCAAGAGGTTGGGGGAAACACTCCGCAAGACATCCCCAAAAGATATGTTCAAAGACATGGCGCAGAGACAAACACCAACAAAACTACCCGTTATTGGCAAATCACATCCCCAAGACATCTTGCAAGACCTGCCCCACTCAATCGAAGACCCCATAAATGCCGCCAATGACATCCCCGTTCACAACTCCCAAAGACATCCACAAAAACATCCAGAAAGATGTCCAGAGAGATGTCCCCAATGTTATCCCTAAATGCATCACTCGAGACAAAGACAACTCCAACGACACCCCAACACCACATCCCCCAAAGACATCCCCCAAGACAACCGCAAAGACATACCCAAACACACTCCCAAAGGAATCCCCCAAAGACATCCCTCCAAGACACCTTCCCAAACCATCGCCCATGGGTGATGTCCCCCCCAAGACACCACCCAAGACAACCGCAAGGACATACCCAAAGACCCCTTGAAAGACAATCCGCGTGCCAAGCTCCAAACTGCCACGGAATCTGCACTCAGACTCCTGAGTGCTGCACCTGCCACGCAATCCTCTGAAGCGCTGCGCTTGCCACGAAACTGCAACAAAAAGTCAAAAGGGCTGCGCCTGAAACAAATAGAGTACGTGCGACGAAGAAAGCATCAGCTTACCACTCATATCCCAAATTGACACCTGACTGCAGCGCCAAAATGAATTCGATCGATTTTGACTTTTAGCTCGCCAAAACAAGCCAACTGCGCGGCAAAGCCAACTGCGCGACTGCACCAACGAAAGTGACGCTCGAGCGAACGCTTGCACATGCATTCCAAGCAAGACACTTCAAAACGACACTTCCCCCAAACGCAAATCCCACAGGCTCCAGAAAAACGCCATTTGGCGAGTCATACACATCATTCCGAGCCTTCCGAAGGGCGGCAGCTTTGGAGCAGAAGTCTCAGACAAATTCCTCCCCTCTGGTCCCAAACGAACACGAGATATGTCAAAGAGCAGGTTTGCTAAGCGCTTCGAGGATGAACCGAAAAGATGTGAACATGTGACACATGAAAGAAAAGCCGACGTTGGCTCCGTTCAAACACCAAAGAAGGCGCGGGTTCCTCTTGACCCCGGTGACAACTGCCAACTTCGCCTCTGCGATCCGGATGGGCTCGACTTGCGGTCGGAAAGGGCCGTCTGAGCCCAAGCTGAGGGCGCGGAGCCTGAGAATTGGGGGGAATCATTGGGAAGACCACAACTTGACGAAGTTCCCTACTTCGTCAAACAAGGACTGCTTCTTCAATGTCCAAGATGCCAAGCGCTGTCCAAAATCATGGGATGGGGTAAGTTCGAACCAGACCGAAGCCCGGCAAAAAGACTGCGAACTGAAGTCCGAAGGCCCCTGACGAAATCAGAATGGGCGTGTCTCCAAGTGGGCTGGAAAGTTGAAATGGGTCTCAATTGTTCTTTCAGCTCCTGAAAAGAAGCACACATATATGAAAAACGCCTTCGAGATAGTTGACTCAGCGCACCGTAGCAGGCCCCTTAGAATCAACCAGGCATGGCCACAACCTGTATATGAATATATATACATATACATATATATATGTATGTATATATATATATGTGGAAATATAGGCGTGATTAAATATATGCCACATGTGTATACTGTACACATGGGTGCGTAGATACACACGAATATGTATATATGCGTACATACTATGTTTTGTGCACGCAGAGGAGACATCTTCCCGGGGGCCTCTGAACCACCGGTCCTGTGAGAAGAGAGGCAGCACCGACTTCCCCGCATGGCCCCCGATCACCGGCCTTGGAAAGCAAGACAGGCACAAACCAAAAATGGCGTGGGGGAAGTTCCAGGGTTAGGAGCTGCAAATTGCATTTGCCATGAGACCTGTCTGCTGTTCCGCTCACGCACGAGCCCAGGGTTCCGGCACATTGATGGAGTCCACGGGCACACCTGTGGCCTCGTACACGAACTTGTTGGCTCGAACTACGTCCAGGGTGGTCACACCTCCGGAAAAAAGGGCGCGCCGTTGCCCGACACAGCATGTCAGCACGATTCCTCTCCAACCTCTCTTATGAGATTCTGCATGTCAGAAGGTCCCTTCTTGCTGGGCCCAAACAACTGTGGTACCCTGTTTCATCGTTCCAGCAGGGAGGAAACCACGTGAAACCACCTTCGGTGAATAACGGCAAGGACCAGGAAAGCTAAATCTAGTGCCACAAAACCCTAGCACAGAAAGAGCAGTGACCTTTTACTACTGCAAGGGCAGGCGTGCTAGACAGGCCACAATCAGAGGCGTAGCAAGGGACACATTCACTGCCAACGCGTCGTCAAAACAACCCAACATCTCTGCATCCAACAGCGTCGTCTGCCGCGACGAAACAGACTTCATCATGGCCCGCCGGAGGATTTGCATTAAGGAGACAACGCAGCACTCACGGGTGCCCGCTTCACAAGTGGCAACTGTGGACCAAGAAAGCTCGTGGCCAGGTGCAAGGGTCCCCTCTAAAACTGGAAAACTCCTGTAAATCAACCGTATGAGTTTCAGAAAATGGCGAGCCCCCGTTTGGTTAGTGTGAAACAAACAACCCGAAGGGGCCCGATTCCGGGGAGAGACCTTTCTCTAGCCGGGCCCCGTGCCGAGGATCTTCTTCGGGTCTAGGCCCTTCTTCTCGTAGAGCCTCTCGCCACACGCGCAACTCAGATCGCAGGAAGCTTAGCCACTTCCGCACTGGAACTATTTGAGGTTAGCTCTCTCCAACACTCGCAAGGGCTCTTTAAGAATACGCCCTTCCCGTGACAAGCTAGGAATAAAGGATGGAAAAACGGGAGGCTGGAGAGTAGGCAAAAATCCTTGGCCCTGCGCTTGAATTCAGCGCACGCGTTTCGCAGCCATGCATGGTGAACCCTCTGCGGACTTTTGACGGGTTGACCCTGAACAACGCGGCTTTTCAATAGGTCGACCGCGAAAGACATGCTTTTCATGTTGTCTCTTTCGTGGGCTGGGAAGAGCAGAGAGAGAGAAGGCACAAACAAACAAAGAAAAGAGGCAAAGTGAAACATGCACCTGAGACCTTCCTGAGTGAATGAGCGAGCGAGCGAGTGAGTGCGTGGGTGAGCTGGGGGTGGGTGGGTGGGGTGGGGTGGGTGGGGTGTGGGTGGGGGGTGGGGTGGGGTGGGTGGGGTGGGTGGGGTGGGTGGGGTGGGTGGGGTGGGTGGGGTGGGTGGGGTGGGTGGGGTGGGTGGGGTGGGTGGGGTGGGTGGGGTGGGTGGGGTGGGTGGGGTGGGGTGGAGTGGTGGGGTGGGGCGGAGTGAAGTGGCGCCGCGCGGTGCTGGGGGGACTTTGCCCATTGTACTTAGTGTATTTGCCCCGATGTTTGCAAACTGGTACCAATGAGCATTGGCTTCGCCTCGCTCTCCCAGCTTGACCAAAGCCGCCCCACGCCCCACGCTGTGTTTGTGATTGCGCCAGGTGGGATGAAGCTCCAGCTCAAAAACGTATCAAGTTACTGGGAAAAAGGGAATGGACTCCAAGGCATAGGCAACAATGACTCCAAAGAAACGGGGGCCCTTTTGCTGGCCAAATGATGACAAGAAGAAAACATCTCATCTCAGGGTTGCTCATCCCCTTGGCTTACTTTCGCCCCCAAGTCGGGCTTTGAGGGTTTTAAGGGTACCCTTCTTGGGTAAAAAAGGAAAGCCAAGAGGAAACCAACCATTTGTGGGGCTTCCCTACTTTGACACACCATGCGGTGAAATCAACTCCAATCGCTCGCCTCGCCATGGCCGGCACCACCGAGTTCACCGGGTTCACGATGAGGCCCACAATGGCCTGGGACCAAGGCCAAAGGCGAGTGGCCTCACGACGGCTCTGGAACAAAACGGGCGCCAGTTGAAGTTGGTGTTGAAAACAAAGCAGGAATACCAAGGACTTGGAGCTGAGCAATCAAACCAGCTGACAACAAGCAAGCAACAATCACAACGCCAAAAACACCGACCAGCCAACCAACAAACAAACTAGACCACGGTTGGCCCGAAAGCAGAACATCGCAAGCGAGGTCGGCCCAACGCTGCAGGATGCGTTCTTTTTCCCTACACGAAGCATTTGTGAAGCAAGCGCGAGACAGCACCAGGCAAGGTGCTCTGCGCAAACTGGTCGGTGCAAGTTGGTCTGCGCAAGTTGCTCTACGCAAGTTGCACTGTGCAAGTTGCTCTGCGCAAGTTGCTCCGCGCAAGTTGCTCCGGCAAGTTGGTCCCTGCAAGTGGCTCCCTGCAAGTTGCTCTGTGCAAATTGCGCTCCCTGCAAGTTGCTCTGTGCAAGCTGCTCTGCGCAAGTTGCTCTGTGCAAGTTGCTCTGCGTAAGTTGCTCTGCGCAAGTTGCTCTAGGCAAGGCGCTCTGCGCAAACTGGTCGGTGCAAGTTGGTCTGCGCAAGTTGCTCTGTGCAACTTGCTCTGCGCAAGTTGCTCTGCGCAAGTTGCTTTAAAATGCAAGTTGCATCTTGCGACGCCCGCCCGCGGACCAGGGAGGAATCGAACCCGCGACCCGCCGGTTCCGGGAGCAGGCGCGCGAACCACGAGACAACTCCCGAGGACCAGTTCGAACAACAAAAGTCGCAAAAAACCTCGAGTTTTTGCACCTCGACCACGCCGATCCCCGCAGAGGGTTGCGCGAGCACCACAGAAATCGCAAAAAACCTCGAGTTTTTGCACCTCGACCACGCCGATCCCCGCAGAGGGTCGCGCGAGCAGGTCATCGCAAAAAACCATGGGTTTTTGCACCTCGACCACGCCGATCCCCGCAGAGGGTCGCGCGAGCAGGCAGAAATCGCAAAAAACCATGGGTTTTTGCACCTCGACCACGCCGATCCCCGCAGAGGGTCGCGCGGGAACTTTAGAAATCGCAAAAAACCATGGGTTTTTGCACCTCGACCACGCCGATCCCCGCAGAGGGTCGCGCGAGCAGCAGAAATCGCAAAAAAAACCATGGGTTTTTGCACCTCGACCACGCCGATCCCCGCAGAGGGTCGCGCGAGCAGGTTAGAAATCGCAAAAAACCATGGGTTTTTGCACCTCGACCACGCCGATCCCCGCAGAGGGTCGATTTTCGTGTAGTGTCGTCGGCACTACCCCGCCGCCCTAAGAAGAGATTTTAACTCCTCGCAAGTCAATTGCACTTGACTCCTTGCACTTGCAACTTGCACTTGACTCCTTGCTTGTTTCAAGGAGTCATTGCAAGCAGTCATTGCAAGGAGTCATTGCAAGGAGTCATTGCAAGGAGTCATGGCAAGGAGTCATTGCAAGGAGTCATTGCAAGGAGTCATTGCAAGGAGTCATTGCAAGGAGTCATTGCAAGGAGTCATTGCAAGGAGTCATTGCAAGGAGTCATGAGAGCCATTGCAAGTTGCAAGGAGCCAAGTGCATGGAGTCAAGTGCAAGTCGCAAGTGCACGGAGTTAAGTGCAAGTTGCAAGTGCAAGGGGCCAAGTGCAAGGAGCCAAGTGCAAGGAGCCAAGTGCATGGAGTCAAGTGCAAGTTGCAAGTGCATGGAGTCAAGTGCAAGTTGCAAGTGCAAGGAGTCAAGTGCAAGTTGCAAGTGCAAGGAGTCAAGTGCAAGTTGCAATCCTTGCCATGACTCCTTGCAATGACTCCTTGCAATGACTCCTTGCAATGACTCCTTGCAATGACTCCTTGCAATGACTCCTTGCAATGACTCCTTGCAATGACTCCTTGCCATGACTCCTTGCAATGACTCCTGGCAATGACTCCTTGCAATGACTCCTTGCAATGACTCCTTGCAATGACTCCTTGCATGACTCCTTGCAATGACTCCTTGCAATGACTCCTTGCAATGACTCCTTGCAATGACTCCTTGCAATGACTCCTTGCAATGACTCCTTGCAATGACTTTCATGATGATGATTCCTTGCAATGACACCTTGTAATGACTCTCATGAGAACAACTCAAGTGAACCCAGCGGAAGAACCCTTCGCCATGCTTTCGGGAACAATCAAAAAAACACACAGCAAGTAACCAAGCAAGCCAGCGAACAAACAAACAAACAAACAAACAAACAAACAAACAAACAAACAGCACGCAACAACAAGCTACAAACAACAAACACAACAACCCACAGCAACAACAACTAACGGTAGCGGCAACAGACCAGGACAAAGACAACAAGCCACAGCAAACCACAAACGACAAACAACAAACAGCAAATAACCAAGAAGGACCAACACCCAACAATCGCAACCGCAACAACATCAACAACGACAGCCACATGCACGACAACGGCGACGAACACAACAATGACAAGGACAAAGACGACAACGACAACAACTACGACAAGAACAAGAACAAGAACAAGAGCAAGAGCAAGAGCAAGAACAAGAACAAGAACAAGAACAAGAACAAGAACAAGAACAAGAACAAGAGCAAGAGCAAGAGCAAGAACAAGAACAAGAACAAGAACAAGAACAAGACAACAACAACAACAACAGCAGCAACAACAACAACAACAACAACAACAACAACAACAACAACAACAACAACAACAACAACAACAACAACAACAACAACAACAACAACAACAACAACACAACAACAACAACAACAACAACAACAACAACAACAACAACAACAACAACAACAACAACAACAACAACAACAACAACAACAACAACAACAACAACAACAACAACAACAACAACAACAACAACAACAACAACAACAACAACAACAACAACAACAACAACAACAACAACAACAACAACAACAACAACAACAACAACAACAACAACAACAACAACAACAACAACAACAACAACAACAACAACAACAACAACAATACCACAAAGCAAGCAAAACACTGCAAACAAGCAAGCTAGCAAACAAACACAAAATAGAACACGGGAACAAAAGTAAAAACAGGCAAGCAAACAAGCAAACAAACAAACCAGCTAAAAAGCAGACAACCCGAAACCAACAACGGACAAACAAACAAGCAAGCAGGCAAGCAGGCAAGCAAACAACCATGCAAGCAACCAAGCGAAGAAACAACACAACCAAGAAATGAAGCAAGAAATCAAGCAAGCAATCAAGCAAGCTTTCAAGAAAAGCATGAAACCAAAACAAACAAACAGACAAACGTCGAACAAGCAAGCAAGCAAGAAAGCAAACAAGCAAACAAACAAGCAAACAAGTAGGCAAAAAAAAACCAAAATCGACAAAACAATCACTCAAACAAGCAAAAACGAACAACAAGCAAGCAAGCAAGCAAGCAAGCAAGCAAGCAAGCAAGCAAGCAAGCAAGCAAACAAACAAACAAACAAACAAACAAACAAACAAACAAACAAACAAGACGACAAACAAACAAACAATCAAGCAAGCAAGCAAGCCCATACAAACAAATCAAAACAAATAACAAATATGCAAGTAAATTAACAAATACAAAGTAATCAGAAAAAATGAATCAAAAAACAAAACATAACTAAATAACTAAACCAAACAAACCAGGCCACACAAACAAGCACAGAAATCAGGAAAGAAACGAAAGCAAACAACAAACATGCATGCAAGCTAGCCAGCAAGCGAGCCAGCCAGCCAGCGAACCAACCAACCAACCAATCAAGCAAGCCAGCCGGAAAGCAAGCAAAACAAAAAGGCAAGCAAACAAACAAAAAATCAAGCAAAATGAAAAAAAAGGTACGCATGCGCAGCAGACAATAGAGCCGGTGAGCGGCTCGGCGGCGGCACTGTAGCAATGCGCAAAAGCAACACCAAACACAAGCAAAGAGACTCCGCGCGAGGATTGTACATTGCTGAACACTCGCTGAGAGCCAGCGATGCAACCGGAAATCTCTTTGACAACACGACAAAAAAAGCCGACATGAGGCTGAAATGCATGAATTTATTATCATGCGGCGCAGTCCCCACCCCCCCACCCACCCCCCCCTCCCAACCCCCACCGCGGCGTGGAACGACGGAAAAACAGCTGAAACGCCGCGAAACGACCAGGCGCCCTGTGGCGGCACTAGTAACAAACAAACAAACAAACAAACAAACAAACAAGCAAACAACTAAAGCGAGCAATCAACGAAGCTGCGCAAGCAAACCAAAATAGAGAACACACCTCGGCCTCCCGGCCTCCGGGCAGCGCCTTGCGCAGGCCTCCACAACCTCGAACCCCGGGCTGTCGGCCATCGGCTTTACGTGTTGCGTCCCGAGTTCTCAGAGGATTTGGACCTTTGGACGCGTCAGGAGTTGGTTGGCGGTTTTCCTGGCGGTTTTCCTGGCGGGTTGTTCGCAGAGGACTTTTTCCCTGGACATGGAAAGGGGGCCCTGTGATCCTATTTTGGCGAGCGAAGGTCATCCCCTTTTCGACAAATGGCAGTATTGGCTGATTTCATAAGGGAAAAGAACCAATATTGGATTTTATGCCTCCGCCCTGTTTTCACTTCTATGGCTGGGAGTGGGAATCCTGCGCAAATTGGAGGCAAAAGGGGAAAACCAACAAGCAAGGAAGCAGCCAAAGTGACTGCGCAGCATGTTGGTTGTCTGATCTTGAATGCTCGATTGTTGATGTGTCACGGATCCATTGAACTTTGGATATCAACTCACCCTAAATTTGTGAGACAACTGTCATGGCCTGTTTGACGTTTCTTGTTTACGTGTTTGTTTCACGCCACACAAAACAAACAGTCTACCAAAACAGTCTACTATTGGTACAAGAAAACAAAGAAGCGTTCCAAGGCTATATTTTTTAGCACTTGGCTCCTCGAAAGTCGAAAAGGCTTTTTGACCGGTTGGGGTATTCAATTCCTGAATAGCATTTTGTCCGTTGAAAGTCGAAATTATCGTACCCGGCAAAAGCCAAAGTCGAAGAATCTGGGACCATGAACGAAGAGTCGCAAAGCCGGGATCGAAGCTCAAAAACCCCAAGAAAACGTTTGACGCTTTGACTCAAAGTGCAGAAATACATGTTCGCCTTAACACAGCACCGCTGCAAAGACAACTAATCCAAGTTCGGAGTCCCTCCTCTTTGTCTGGCGTTTACACGAAAAGCACACGGGCGCCCACCATCTAGCTAAGGAACCCCTTGCGCGCTAAACCCAGCGGAAGCGCGCTGGCAAAATTGCGCATTTGCCAACTCATGAAACCATTGAAGACTGACTTAAGGCACCTGCTGATGTCAAATTAGAAAGTAAGCATGCAAATGTAGCAGAGGTCCCGGGTGCACATGCCCAAGATAGTGACAGTGACACGTCACAAGTATGACTTCTCTATAGCTTGTCGGGCTGTGTTCGTCCATGGCTTGCCGCTCGTTTCAACACGTAGCACTCATCTTGCTACCCAAGCCTACGTTCGACTCACCCTACTCTCACGTCAGACAGCCAAACGCCACTGGGTGGCTGAATATGATCCCGTCCTAATCCGATCTTCAAAGGCACTCCTGCAAATGTCCATGCTTGTTGAAATGCTAGAGGAAGTCTGGGTGAATTCCCCCCCCCCCTGCCCTGGAAAAAGTATAAATCCAATTCTACTTTTCGTCCAAATCGGTTTTTCTGTCCAACCCCAAGAAAGCGTTGTCTGGCCGTCGCCCGCGCAAAGCAGCTACTGAAATTCTTTGACGAGGAACCAGCTTGGCGATGCCACCATTCACCTGCATCAGGTCCTTCTTGCTCTGGCTGGGCTTTCTCGGCACTCCTCAAAAGAGTGCAGAAAGCTCCTTGAGCCTAAGGGAAAACCCACAATGTGTCTGCTTGGCACCTGCTTGAATGGGTGTGGCAAACCAAAAGACCACCCATGTCACAAGCATCTCTCTGTGTCCCAACATCAATGAATGAAGCTTCTTGTTGGATGAGTGGTAAGGTGAACAAACACGAAACCGCACATTGTCAGCGGTGCAAATCCTCTGTTGGCAACACCCTCTTGGAGTGGGAGGCTCGTTGGTTCAAAACACAATCTTTGGGATGCACTGCGCTGGTCCAGGGGAAGTCAATCTTAACCTCGGTCGATTTCTGGCTTTCAGACCTAAGAGATTCAGAACGCCCCACAAGAAGTCTAAAGAGATGAAAACGCAAGGTGAACAAATAGAATGAGAGAAGACATCCTGTCTTTCCTGTCTCTTGCCTACCTGTCTGTGTATTTGTGGAGAGTCATGTGAACTGCCTCTTGATCTCCTTGTTTCCCGTCATGTTCCTGTATCTTTTTGTTGGACATGAAAGGAGATGTATGCCTCATATGGTTGCCTTCCTTTGGGTCTTTTGAGAGCCACCAACACGAAGGAAATTTGAAAGACCCATGTTGGCCAAGGTTAGCGAAGAGCATAAGACTTCTAAGACTCCCATCTCTTTTCCCATTCCTATTGCGGAGCTTCGAAACGCTGGGACAATCCAGGGTTTGACCGCATTCATTCTGAGGGTTCTCAAAAATCGAAGGCACGACCTCCCTCTCAAAATCAAACAAAACACTGGTAAGATATCTTACCAAAAGTCATGGCCCTTTTTGGCCGCTCACGAAAACGGCTTCTTCTTCTTTTCGGGAGGGCGCTGAGTTCTTCTCGAGCCATTCGAAACCCAGCTCCTGCCGTCACCAGCACAAGCGAGCAGCCCTCCAGGCACGCCGCGGGGAGATCCCTCGCCGGCCTTGCCTGACTCGCAGCCCCACCCCCACCCCCCGTTGCGCTGGCAGTGCATGGAAAAAGGATGCTCTGCATACGTGTGGGTCCTTGGGACGCGGGGCAATTGACCTTGGCTGTAAAGAGGAAACACAGGCAAGCCGCAAGAAATTAGGGACCCCCGCATTTGCACACTCTCTGCCTGTTGCTTGTCTGCCCGAGCTCCTGTAATTGGAGTCAATCGTGTTTTGACTGTGAACCATCAAAAAACCATACTACTTGATATGACCTAACATTTGAGAGCAAGAACAAGACCAAACAATGATGACTTGCAGGCCACAAACAGTCAGGCTCGCCTCCTTGCAACCAGCAAGTCGACCGACAAGATGCGTAACGCCAGAATTCTCGACCGACGAATGCACACCCTTCGAAAACCATCCTGATTGATCAACCGGAGGCTTCCGAGTGGCCCGTGTCCCATTCCACCCCACCCCACCCCCCCGCAGTCGGGGCCTGCGCAGGCAACGAGTAGGCCTTGACTTTGCAAGGGAACCTCAGATGAATGTGACGAGGCCTTGTCATAACAACCAGATTTCCGAACAAACATCCGCTTTCATATATATATATATAGGTATATCATGCCATCAACTGGGCCTTGCCGTGCAATGAAATGGCATCGGCCCAACAAACCTCAAAAAAGGTAGCCAAACTGAGGCAAGCGAGACGAACCGGGCTAATTGGATACTCACTGGAAGCTCCACACTCCATACAAAGGAAGGGCATGGCTGGCGACTACCTGTTCGATAGCCGGCACTTGACAAAAGGGCTCTTCAACTGTGTATGAACTTCAATGGGGGACTCTTTGGTGGAATTGGAGATTCATGTTTACCAACCATTGTTGAGGTTGCTCCAAGAACATTGACATTCCGAAAGCCTCGGCAACTTTGGAGGCCCTTGGTTCCTAATGCGCGACGCATTGCGCCTTGCTCTATTCCACGCACTTTGACTAACGATCGTTTCGAGGAGAAATGCAAGGGGTACAATGCTATACTCTCAGTCTCTCGCCAAAGACCTTGCCATGAAAGAGACTTGCAAACTTGACAAGAATTGTGGGTCAAGAGTCTGCTCGGAAGCACCAGTTTTTAAATAGCGGCAATAAACCACAAAAATAGATATACCACAAGCACTAAAGCAGCAACAATAACCACAAAAACACCAGCAATAGTGAACTAACAAAAGTGGACAGCCCGAATAACAAATTATTAAAAACTCAAGAGACACATCAAACCAGAAAATAAATCACCCTGAAACAAAACTGGAAAGAAACAGTAACAATCACCACCAGAAACCACCAGACTGGTCTTTTAACAGTTCACAAACTGAAGAAGACTGCACTTCAATAAGACGTTGCACAAAGAATACACCATCAAATACGGACAGCAATAGCGAACCATCAGGATTGAAATGAAACAGTAGAAATGCCGCACCAGAAATAGACTCGTACCAGACAGACGCGGCAAAAAGTTCACCAAGCAAAAGCAGCAGTCACATTAACGCACAAAATGCAAACCAATGATAAACCTCCAAGAATGAAGAGTAACAGTAAACCATCAGAACAGGCAGTAAGACAGTCGTAGCAAAAGTCGAGAAAAACCAATAAGCCACCAGAAACAAGCAGTGGGAAGCCGGCAAAAACAAACGGCAGTAAACTGCCAGAGTTACACAGAAATGATAAAACCACCAGAAATGAGTAGGTAGTACACCATCAGAAACACACAGCAATGACTGCCAGAAATAAAGAGTAACAATTTACCACCAGAAATCAGTAGTACTAATAAACCATCAGAAATATGCCGGAATGATACACCGCGAAAAGTAAACAGCACAAATCACCAGAAATCAGTAGGAAGGATAAACCACCAGGTTGTCCCCTTAGGTTTGCTAGTTTGCAACTGAGGCGCTCCAAATGGGATAAATCTGCAGCTACTCCCTCGGCCGGCACCATACTTCCCTGGCCACAGACATGAGCCGTCTACATTGTTGGGCTTCTGGCAGGGCTTGGTGACTTTCTTTGGTGCTTTTGGGGATCCACTCCAGAAGCCGGCGTAAAAGTGGCCGAACGTCCGGACCATCCCAAAACTCGGGAAGTATCTGCTTCCTTGGATCTGTGCAGTCCTCCGGCTTCATAAGTTGACGCTGCCAAGGGGCGGCGAATTGGGGTTTGGAATGGATTGTGGCTGGGTGATTGGGATATGTCTTTCATGAATTCCCAGAATTCCTTCTCGCGCTGCGCTGCAGGAGCGCCATTACCATTCCATCAAATCAATCATGAAGAAGCTTTTAAGCGTCCCAACACATGAACCTCACCTTTCTACCTTTCTCCCCTGCCCCTTTCACAATCAAAGTGAGATGAACAGCCTCTCAGAAAGGCTTGGGTTTTCTCAGGCTTGTTGTTTCTCTTGAGTTTGATCCAGGCTTGAATCGTCCACTCCAAGAGTGATGACTCTTTGGTTTTGGGAGGTATTTGTTTTGTTGGTACTTGGAGCTTTTTGGGGGCTTGGGGCTTTTGTTCCATCCCAATCTTTGTGGTTTTGGATTCATCCTTGGTTTGTTGTGCATTGCCCAACACAGTCAGGCTTGTAACAAAACTTAGCTAGCAAACAAACTTAGCAGGCAAAGAAGCAGATGCTCACAAACTTTGGAGCAATCCCCTGCCCCCTTGACATGCCCAGGGACTTGCATGTGGATTCAAATGAGCTCCAGACACAACGGCGCCACACCTCCAGGTCGTAGACCGAGAGTTCTTTCACCATGCTGTTGGTGGCCATGAGCAGCGCCAACTGCTGGCCTCGGAGAAGCCGCTTCCTTTTCTCTCCCTTTCCGTCCCTTTCTGCCGAGGGCCTCAGAAGACGAGTTTTTTTGCCCGGGGAAAGAAAAAAAGAAAGGGCCTAGAAAAGGGCTTTGCCGGAATCCGAATGACGCAAAGCTGGCTTGTTCGGAGCACTGAAAAAGGAACGGGCCTGCCTATGCTAGTGGCGCCACCGCAGATGCAGACTTTGAAGCCATCCTGCGCAACGAAAACGGCCACCTTGGATTGGATCTCATTCTTCATGAACGAAAGTCAGGCCGCCCTGTGCTCCACTGGGTTGGCAGCTTGAATGGTCTAACTGTTGAGAAAACAAAACGAAGGAAGACCCCAATCCGATGCTTGGCCGCATTGACTCCCACCAATGTTCTGCCACAAAGCTGAATGCTACGTCACACGCACGCGTCCTTTTTGGCAGGCGTTCCAAAGCCTTCAAAGCACTGGCAGTTCCCCATGGATGTCACATGGACAACCTCGGCACTGCAAGTACACTGACTCACTCCCAAGTGATCCCTGAAATTCACATGTGAGCATCTGCGTCTTGTTTGAGAATCGAAGCAAACCACTTCATCCAAAGCATATCAGCATGCAATAACTACATGGGAGATAGGAACAAAAGATCTGATCGGGCACCGCACTGCAATCCAATGCGGAAAAAAGTTGGGCCAGTGCTGAAATCATTGCGGAGAATAGACCGATTACAGCATCACCAAACGTGGTAAAAACA